GAAGCTATCTTCAAGAAAAAAAAGGGCAGCGAGTGAGAATCATCTGCCTTCCTGGTGATAGAGAATTAATAGCAGAGCAAGTTTTTACGCTTCCTCACAGTAAAAGGGCTGTTGTGCTTTAATAGGATTCAGTTCCACAACAGAAATGAAAACCGTACTCTGATCACTTTTGTTATCGTTCCTCTTCGCGCTTTTATGAATCTCACCGACGTGTCTGTCTCGATCAGTGTGCGAACCTGCAGGGGGTGAAGATGCTGTGTTCCAACGCAGAAGGAGCGTCTCTCAAAGGGTGCAATTTTGAAGATCCATCAGGCCTTAAAGCTAATTTGGAAGGTAAGAAGCTTTGGCTGTTGGGGGCTCCGTGGAACCTGAGCCAGGTGTTTGTACATCTACGTGGCGTGTGGGAGGTTTAGCTGGGATTTGTACAATCCATGTTTTCCTGCAGAGAGGCCACAAAGACCAGACTGAGCGTGTGACTCTAGTCATTACATTCCTAGTTTTACCTTGTCCTCTATCTATTTACATGGCTCTGAGGAAGCATCGTTCTGGAGGCAACATGTTTCTGACTGGTTTTCCTCATAAAACTACTCTTTGTGTATGGTAGGTGCTAACCTGAAAGGTGTCGACATGGAAGGCAGCCAAATGACAGGAATAAATCTCAGAGTTGCAACGCTGAAGAATGCAAAACTAAAAAACTGTAATCTTAGAGGAGCAACTTTGGCAGGAACTGATTTGGAAGTGAGTTACGATTCATTTTATACACTAACTAGTCAGCTGATAAAATTTTGGGGATTGCTGGCGTTTGGCTAAGTTTATGGAAGTTTATGTGGCTTCTGTATAAATGTAGATAAGGTAAAATTTTGAACTAGGTTCTGGGTATGTTCAATTAACATTTCTTTTTCTTTTACCTTTTAGAATTGTGATCTATCAGGCTGCGATCTACAAGAAGCTAATCTGAGGGGATCTAACGTAAAAGGAGCTATCTTTGAAGAGATGCTGACACCTTTGCACATGTCTCAGAGCGTCAGATAGGGAAGAGACTGTGCCGAAGAGGAAGGAATCAAAACATTTATTGTGACTTTCTTCACCTTCTCCCCTTATTAAGTTAGAAGTAATGGTTATTAGACAACTTAAATTTGCGGTAGTGCCTCTTCTTTGATCCTTTTTGGGGGAGAAAGCTTTTGTTTAAGAGGTAGAAACAGATGCTGTTTCTGCCTTTTTGAACAGAGTGAGGAAGCGGGCTGGTTCTAGAACCAGAATGTGGCTGGTTTGGGGCAGAGGGGAGGGTTAAACAGATTCATTGGTCAGCATTGCCTCACTTTGGAATGCATTTTAATTTATAAAGCACAATATATGCAATTCTATTTATTAAATCTGTAGCTGCAATATGAATAGAAAATGTTATTCATGTATAGTAGCAACAAAAGTTCAGGTTTACAGTTAGACCAGTGTATTTACAGTTAGTTTCTCCATTCGTGCACAGTGTATTAAATGACAGATGTGGTTTAGACGATGTCCACAGGATGTTTTCAGGTACTCTCTGGGGTGAAAACAGTAGTTAACGGTCATCACAGGTAACATATGCCTTGCAGTGGGTTGAATGCAGGTATAGAACAGCTTTATCACCTTTGAAACTGCGCAGTGGAAGCTGCTTCCACTGAAGAGATCTGCCTACACAGCAGATTTAGTTACGACTGAAACACCCCTGTTCGTAATTGGATGTCTTATTTAGTCCTTTCCAAATCAGTGTGAAATTGCACTATCAGTCACAGCCGGTAAGAAAAGTTCTCCGAACTGGAGTACCTGTAGAATTTTTTTCGTTAATTAAATGTACATAGGAAAACAAAATACTGTGTCACCAAAGTAGAGCTAAGCACTGGAGCCTCAGCACATGCTCTGTCCTCTCATCGTTACTCCAGTAGATGAATGAACGGCACCCACGTCCCCTCCCTGTACTATGCAAATACCCTTGTACGCTGAGTCCCTGAAAGCACGGGCATAATCCTTCTCCCAGCCAGATCTTAGGATTCCACTTTGGGCCTGCTTCAAGTGGCTGTAAAGGCATCTTGCAAAGGGCAAAGTGCCCTTTCCACACCTGCTTTAACTGTGAGCAAATAGGGAACCCTGTGAGTTCTGCGGTGCAGAAAGCCTCACACATCTCTTTTGGTGGTGATGCACTTCACTGAATAATCCATTTCCATGGTAGTATCAATCTAGTTCTCATCTAACACAACTTTTATTTTATACACAATGAAAAAGCACACAAACTATACCAAAAAAAAAAAAAAGGTGCATCAAGAACTCTTACCTCAGATGCTTACTTAAAACACCCCAAAGTTCAAACTAACCTCGAACCTAAGGAAACACAGCCCTTACCGAAGTTAAGAACCACTGTATCCTAAAACTTACAGAATGTGACACCGGGAGCAGCAGGTCGAGTTCCACGGGTGGGTTGTCTTTTACCTGCAGTGCAGATTTCTTGTCCTCCAAACACAAGTCTTCTTGTCTCAGTAGTTACAGAAATGCTGCTTTGCCAGCAATCTAGAAAGAGTAGTTCAGATCTGATTTGTCTGGGGGGGAACTGCAGGATTCTCCCTTATTTTCAGGTTGGGTTGACTCAGGCGTCTGGCATGAACTTCTGGGACTCAAAATCCCACGGCCATGTGGTTCAGAATTGGGATTTTGTTTGCTCTAGGACACCACCCTATCCTGGGTGAAAAACGCCTGCAGCTTCAGGGGAACTATTTCAGTGGGATTTTGGAGTCCTTTTTCTCATCACTTCTGTGGAGAGTGATGTACATGTTGCAGTAGAAGAAGATTCCTAGGGCTAGAGAAATAAATGAATTATTTTTCTTTATCATATTTTGTAGCTGGCAGAAGTTAAATATTGTATGGAGAATTCTATTTTCATAATCACTGTGTAGAAAATATATTTGAACTTTCACTGAAGCACTATGTTTTGAATAATCACAGCATGTGGCATCCTTCATTCACAGATGAATTTAAGGTACCTCTTTTGCTATGACAAAGCTGTACGAATAGCCCAAAGTGGCCTGTTCAGAAATGGCAGGTTCCAGCCTAATTTAAGTTGCATTAATAAAATTGTTAAATATTTAAAGTGTCTTGGCTGTCTTAATTTAAAAAAACCAACTCAATCTTACGTGACTTACGTGGGAAGGACACCAAGTTAGAAGGCAGCTTCTCGCTTTGAGAGCTCCTTCTATACAAACTTAAAAATATTATCGCTAAAGTTGGTTTTGCCTTTCGGGACTCCTTGACTGTCGCCCAAGCCCCTGGTGAGCCTAGCAAAAACTAAGGTTATTTAAAGGTGAAAAGAAGATGTTGTTCATCCTGAGGGATGACATTTGAAGAAAGACTTCTGACTCTAGCCTAGAGTTTAAGAGCAGCCGTGGCCCAGCTCCCTACCCAGTAGGTAGGATTTCCCTCACCGAAACAAACTATTTTCACAGCCTGACGGGTTTATCCATCAGCTGACGTTAAATGTTGGCTACTCTTGCCCTGAGTAGGAGGAGTATTAGAGCAGGAAGAATCACTCTTTGCTAGAGTCACTAAATCCTTCTTAAATTATTTACTTAGTAAGTTACTTTTAATCCACTAATCTCAAAGAGGTCATGGGAGCAGGAGGAGAGGATGTTTGAAGAACACCAAACACGATACATTGAATTGCACATAAAAGAGTGTACAGCAAGTCAAAATAGCTGCCAAATGGATTTAAAAAGAATTCTGCAATCAAAATACTGAATTTAACTCTTGCATGCAAATAGCTATCAGCTCCTTTTTAACACTGCAGTGCATAAACTATCAGGAATGAAGAGCATGCATACACACACACATATATATATATATAAAAAAGTCCAAAATAGCAGTGACAGAGCCCTATTTATGAGAGCCTAACGTGACAACAGAGCATGTTTACAACGTAATGTCCTTTTGATCAGGTTAATACTTTGCATTTTATAGGGCAAAGAATATCAAAGCACCTTAATTTAAATATTGAACTTCCAAAGGGTCCTGCAAAACGCCCTCAGTAATCATCAGCTCGTTTACGCACCAAAGGACAATTTCCTTGGTGCCTGACCAAGAGAAAGACGAATTCCTCATCCATTTCACCACCTGTAAGCCCCTCTCAACAAACACAAACTCACCCAAGAACTTAAAAATTAGCAATAACGGAAATAAAATACTGTGTATTTTTCACAGGGCAACAGCAGTCAGCTAGATCTGAACATCAGATTTACAGCCTCTTAAAAGAAAGGCTGCGACTTTCAGAGCTGTTAGAGAAAACACCTGCATTTAATAGCTACACCAGGGGTGCTCCAATTATGTGCTTTACTTCTGCTGCATTACAGCAGTTTTAAGAATAAAATTGCAATGTGTGGGATAGAATTAGCTAAAGTTACCTGCTGTGCAAGGCTTGGTCTTGGGGTGGCTGTGTATAAAAAGTGAGATGACAAACATACTTGCAGGACATTTTCCATCGGTGGCGAGTTGGAGTTGTTCTGCAACCTCTCTCAGCAAGCAGGTAATGTGCTTGAACAACAAACCATATTCCCTTTTTACTTATTCAGTGCTCACAGATGCTTGTACCAGAAGAAACTCGCATTAGAAGAGACTGCAAAGAGCACTTTTTAAGGAGTGGGAATCTTAGAAGAAAAACTGGCCAAGCTCAACACATCTGTCAAATACCAAGAGGGACTTGCACATAACCTTTTGAGGTCTAGACATTCCTAAAACTCTGAAATCAAAAATCCTAATTTAGATCTTCATCCAAATTTTTCAGATGTTAAATCTCTTTATAATGAGCTAATCCACACTTTGAGAGGCTCAAAATCCAGCTGTGGCTAACAAATAGGCACAAAGCCACCAGGGTGCAGAAGATCAGAACTGAGGATTCAGCAATGTAGCATTTTCATAACTCTGTAAGATAAAAATGGAGCTGTAATGTGGTTATGATCAGAGCTGTTTTGTTCTCTCACAGGATGGAGAAGCCCAGGAAGATCGTTGTCGGCGTCCTCCTGCTTGTCCTGTCTGTGGAAACCTGCTTGGCTCAACACTGGTCGTACGGCCTGCAGCCGGGAGGAAAAAGGAACGCGGAAAACCCGGTGGAATCGTTTCAAGAGGTAGGTTCCAGACTGTGGAACAACCCTGTGTTTTAGGTGGGTCCCTTGTCTGTAAAAGATACAAGCAACCGAGAGGGGGCAGAGACTTTAAGGTGTACGGGTCCATCTCTTTCCCCACAAACACACGTACATATGTACATCACACACTTTTTAAAGCAGTGATTTGAGAGCTTGGCATAACCAACAGTGCTGCCTATTGCAGACGGATGGCTCTGAAGGAGAGATGGAAGTTCTGAGTTCCAGGTTAAACCTCATTTCGTCCTCTCCCTGAATTTCAGCCGATGCTCGGACGGGCTGTTCCATGACAATGTTCATCCACTGCCCTGAGAAAGTGGCAATGGGCCGCTCTGCTGTGTAATCAATTAGACGGGAAGCAATTAAATGACAAAGCAGATGTGGAAGGTTCTGTCCACCAGTGGTTCTTCCCATTCTTCATGTGCGGTCCCTCGTAAAATCAGGATGGCAGAGCTGCTGTTAAGTTTACCGTAGCACCTCGGAAAGGGGTGAATTCAAGCTGTGCAGCGGGACAGCTCCACCTTCCTCTGTGACTAGGGTGGAGTTGCTTTAGCAGACAGATCTCCTTTCCTGAAGGCTGTATCACTTCCCAATTCAGATGGCAAAGGAAATGGAAAAATTAGGGGAAGCGCAGAAGACCGAATGCCCAGGCTCGTATCAGCACCCCAAGTTCAGCGATCTGAAGGAAGCCCTGGTAAGTAATGTGGTTCTAATTTTATCACTGTGGGAAAATCAGGGGACTGGTCCAGGCTGAGAAAATACATGAAGGGAAGAGAAAAAAGGTGATGGAGGAAGAGGAGGATGAGGAATGTAAGTTCAGTTCACATGTGGCAATACTGGCTCTGCCCTTATTTGCCTCATTCTCAAGGACCTCAGAGCCCCAGTCCTAGGACAGGACTCCATTCTTATGCTCCCAGTGTAGCAATGTCATTACTCACTAAATTAAAAACAAAAAGTCAGACACATTCTACCTTAATACAAATCTCTGCAGCGTTCACAGATGCTTAACTTCAAAGGCACACTTTGCCAGCTGAAGGATCAAGCCATATGGAAGCTGCTGCTCCCCAGGTCCCAAGGCTGGGAAATGTATTTTCCATTAGATGCTCGAATGCAATGACAGCACAGACTTCACACACAAACTCACTGCTAGAGAAAGAATACTCTCAAGCAAAAATGTGCTCTTTAATTAATATAGCAACACCTTGATCAGGCCAGATGGTCACCACTTTGTGGGAAGTGTCTATGAGCTGTCCTAAAAGTTGAAACACTCAATCTGTACTTCAGTTTCGAAGCCAAAACCAGAAGTTTCAAGTCTGCACTGCAGCCTTCCACTGAGGAACTTGGCCCAAATAAAGGCATATAAACTCAGTAATAGTAAAGCAGGCAGGTCAGAGTCTGACTTAGATTGGATTTTCATGCAGAAACTATAAACTACCTACAAAATATCATTTTTAGGTCATCTTTAATCCTATTTGCACTGAACATAAAATGGAATATTTGTCCCTGACTGGCTTCCAACAGCACTACTTGCTGCATGAAGAGCCAGCAATAGCAACTTCCTGTGTTCAGAAAGTTGGGGTTTTTTACTGCAAGAGACTATGTTAAGGCAGCAAAAGATACCAGAATATTTACCAGGATATTTGCAATGAGTCCTTGATACTTTTTGCCTACCGAGGGAAACTTGGCCTTTCCTTGTAGAGCTGAAGGCATCCCCCTATCAGATTCCTAGGCTTGCTCAGAAACTGTTGCTAATCTTGCATATAAAATGTAAAAATTTTTAAGCCTCTGCATCAAACACCTAGTTCAGGTATCTTATTCCTGTGGCATAGCCTGAACTATGTGGCCTTCTTATTTCTAGCTGCTTAATGACTTGGAAAACAAGTTAAACTTTTTCCAGATGCAGCTTTACCAATGTAATGGATTCCTGGAGTTGCTACAGGAATATTATGCAATGAGAGGGGAAGTGTCTGGAAACAGTCCACCCCATGGAAAAAGCTTTTCAAATTATCTTCATCATTTCCTGGAGGAGCTGGTCGCGAGTGCAAACACAAATCCACCTAGCTACGACACGTAAGGGGAAAACAGAACATACTCAGACAGCACATCCAGCCAAAACAGAATGGGAAGAGGGCAACTGTGCCGCTTGTACCGACCCTGTGGCACTTCTGCAAGCGCAGCTTTCTTGTCTCGGGTCTCCTGGCCAACTGCTTAAGCTCTCGGAGCCGTTCCACACAGCGATGCTTTGTGCAAGTTCACGCTCCTTGTCCTCAACTGCTGTCAAAGCGTCGTGTTCAACAGCTGTTGGGTTGCGCTCCAGGAACTGCTGCAGTGGGGTGGACCCATTAACAGATGTAGAGTTGGTCGTGAACTCTGGGATGAAAAGAGCCATTCTGAGGGGCGGTTACGTTATACTGTACCGTCAGATCCACGGGCAGGTGGCAGAGATTGTGTCGGGTCAGATTTATGACATTCTAATCCCTCTGTCCAATGGACACCACAACACACATATTTTGGCATCTGACCAGGCTTTAAAATTCCATGATCAAAGTTATTTCTTCTCTTTAATAAAGGGTATGATGTGTTTTTACAGGAAAGTCTGATCGAAGGGGAAGCTAGACGAAAGAAGATGTAAACTCAAAGCCAAATGGAACAATGGACCCAGAATAAAATTTCAAAGCTATCTTAAAAACAATTCATCTCCAAACGGCTTTCGCTTAGATTGCATTATGTGAATAAATACTCTGGAGTTACATTGAAAGAGTAGATGATAATTTTTGTGTCTATTACTAGCTTATATGGAAAAGAGAACACATTCCAGTCCAGTGGCTGGGACTCAGCAGCAGAGTCTGCTGTGTCCTGCACCCGAAACTTGGACGTGACAGCTTTTGTTTCACACGTACAGACAATGCCTGGGCAAAACACTGTCTGATCTCACCAGTCTCTCACTAAAACAGGAACATAACTCCTCTAAAAACCCAGAATAAACTCACCGTTGGAATGTAGTTTCACTCACACTTTAGCAGTCCATGTACCAAAGACTTCCATATGCTCTTCTTTTACTGGTTCACTCATAAAAACTACATTTATTTTAAAAAGTTATTTACAAACTTTACAGCAGTTAATACATTTTTTAAAAAAAGTGAAAATGTATACATCTTGCTTTACAGATTTAGTGAATCATATGTCATTTACCCAGGGAGATGCAGACTCCCTTTCAAAGCTTGGCTCCTACTCTTTCCTCAGAGCCAGTTTAAAAGCTCTATTTTTTGCTGATTCAACTGCAGAGGACTAAAAGAAAAAGAGGAGAAAAAAAAAGAAAAAGGTATTCGCGGTGGGGTTTCATTAAACCATCACATCCAGGATCCCAGAACACTCACCAAAATATATTACACAACATCCACATTCTCCTGAATTCAAGACCAACACATCCCAAGTTTTATCATGTCGTGAAACCTTTCCAACACCAACCACGAAAAACTCCCTCAGTTAATATCACGCACAGAGGGGCTGAAATTCAGAGCTGCCGGGGACTTGCAGCTGTTTAAACCCCTCGGAACTGCAGACCACGCGTGTGAAAAACAGCTTCAAAGCAGGCAGTCAGGCACGTCCAGGGATTTCAGTGACAGCCTTAAATCCCCACAGTAAGACCGATACAGCCCAAAGAGATGCTCTTCACCCTTCCAAGCTCCTCTGCACTCCCTTGTGCGCTCTCTCTAGCGCCCACAGTGCTGTCCTAAAGGTGCTGTAAGGAGCAGAATTAGGTGAACCTGCTCTCGAAAAGCCTCTCTCCTGCCACGCAGCCAAGGAAATCACATTATTCGTTTGCTTTCCCTCTCTGACACAGTCCTAGGAAAAGCTCACTCTGGTCCACTTGGTCATTTGGTCTGCAGCAGTAAATGCATCATAGAGAATTTATTAATTAAAAGATAAAAATCAAAGAAAGGAGCAGGGTCAGGAATGTTTTGGCTATAAAAAAAAAAAGATTACAGTTAAATTACAGACATCTTAAACCTATTCCTTCCATTTACAATTATAAAAATAAATAAGGGGAGAAAATCTGAGCCATCAGCACAAGTCTAACTCACTGTTCATGTGCGGAACATCCGCTGGGCTGCAGAGCGTGAAGGTCATTAGATGCAGGTTCTCAAAAGCCACAGCACACACATTACAGCATTTTCTGCCACCGCAGATCACAGAGCTGCTCTCCCTGGAATCGGTGTCCTTTCCTAATCCAATAATCCACTGAAATG